AAATATTTCATATTTAGCATATGCCGTTATATTTTTATGATTTGTTTAATTTATTATTTTAAAAACGCACATTATAAATTTTAATCAATATACAAACTTGCCTTTAATAAGACAGTTCTGTATATTTTGTACACTAGACCTTAAACTTTAGTTTTAAAAACATATAATTTGTGTCATTAACTCATATCTTGGAATCAACTCTAGTTTGTGAACACAAAACCATACGAAGAAAACATACAGACATGGATTCACTTCCAACGAAGACGTTTGACATAAAATTGATGGATATGTGGCTCTCGTCTCAGAAAGAATTGATTGAAATTAATCATAAAATTCAATGTTTGAGAGAATGTTTGTCAATATCTGATCTAATTATCACCCAATTGTCTGAAGTGAATAAAACTCTAGTTTATATTTTGAATGCAAATATTGCGAAGAATCCAGAGTTTGTGCCATTGATTCGACTCATGAGACAACTCGAAGAATCGATACAACGAGAGAAAGACAATTTGATGGCAAATAAGAAAAAATGTGTTGATAATAATAATGTAGACAATGGCGAGAATCTGATCCATAAATTGTCTGAATGTGTGGCAAAAGTATGTAAATGTAGTGAAACTCAAATGGAAACCAAAAATTTTGTGGACAAGAGTTTGGAAATCAGCGAAAACAGAGTTGAAGTCCATAACGAAGAACCGATCGCAACGGACAACACATATACCATCGACTCGTCGGCCATTAATAATCAAATTGTGGCCACAAATTGGATCCCAATTGCGAAACGCGGGCGACGGAGACATTCAACTTCTGGCCGATCGCCCGACGGGTTATACTCGTGTGATTTGCCTCAGTGTGCGTTCACTACCAAACAGCACGATCTACTTGTCTATCACACAAACGCACACATGAATGTCAGGCCCTATGCCTGTGAACGGCCCGGATGTCAGTTCCGGACGAGTTGGCCGTCAAACCTAAGATGTCATCGATTAAAACATAGAGACAATTGCTATTCGTATCGATACAGGAGCTTAAATTATTTGGCATCACTTCCACCCGATAGTCGTGTGGCGGTTACCGAGTCGTCAACACCGGATCCGTTGTTTAGTATTGACCACCAAATGCGGCGCAAATATTATTGGCCACACAAATGCACACAACTATAAGACCAACGCCTGTGATTGGTCCGTACGTCAGTGATATGCCCAGGAAAGAGATGTTATAAAAATGACCAGGTGTAGTCTCAAAACATGCACTTACTATTAACGTTACTAAAAAGTTTTAATTTGTTCTTATATCTTGCACTATAATTTGAAATAAATAATTAAAATAAAAAACCATTAATGTTATAAGTGAATCACCTAGCTCTGTCCATGTGCTTGCGGCCACAAGCGGCCACAATATCTCTTTGTATGATATGTCAGTATAATGTTTTAACAAAATAAATTATAACTTTTTAAAGTTTATTATTCTTTCTCTATTAAGAATAATTATCTGTATAAATAGTTATAAATACAGTTAATTTTATATTTATTATAAGTTATTTATTTCCTTTAATTTATTTGATTTATTATATCTAAAAACTCTCACATCACATAAGTTTAATGAATAAAAAGCATTTATAAATATAATCAATTTGATTCAAACTTACAAAATATTCTGTACATTGAGCATTTTATTTATTATATTCAATAATTTTGCAATTATTATAATTAATTTTTAATTAATACAAAATATTATATTTATCTAGTTAAACAATTATAATAGTAATTCATTCAATTAACAATTTCTATCAAACCATTGTTCGGCGTAATTCTCGCGCAAATAATCGTTACGACTGTCGGCGCAGTCGGTGTCCGAATAGAGGGTGTGATGAGTACTGGAGCTCAGGTACGGCTCAAATACTGTACGGTTTAAGTATCGGAAACCGTCGCCGTAGGCGTACAGCGAAACACTACTGCCTTTTGTAATGCCGGCAAATGTGTGGCCACTCATCGGCCGGGAGGCCAACGGATTGCCGCTTATGTTAAGAAAAGCAAAGCCGGTGGGCGACAGATTAATAGCATCGGCCGACAGGTTTGCAATACTGTTATTTTGCAAATTTAACGTAAGAAAGGAACCATTGAGTTTTAGAGCACCGCTACCAATACTGGCCAACCGGGTGTTGCCAGTGATCGTCACTTTCTCCAGCATAGGGAAAGTGGACAGACCATTGGCCGGTATAGTATTTAGGCTGGTGTTGATTATACTCAGCTCATACAAGTTGGTCACATTGACCAGTGCTTTGAATAAATCATAGTCACCGCCGTTGCCATCAGCTATGGGCGTGTGGGCTATATAAATACGTCTAAGAGTTGAGGCCACGGGTCCCGCAAACGCCCGGGTGTTCACGCGTTGTAGGCTATGGGCGCCGTATATCACAATCTCGTTGAATTGAAACTCGCCAAACATATCGGCCGGCAATATGACGATCCGGCTGTTAGTAAGCGTGAACCGGTAGAAGTCACGGTCCGTAACAGTTGTGCTCAGCCGTTGAAACATGGCTTTCAGGTCCAAGTGGTCGGCGCCCTCGCAATACAGGTATACGTTATAACCTACCGGTGGGGCAACTTCTCTGAAGCAAGTGCACGGCGCGATATCACTAGGCTTTGGACACTGTTGGGCCAGTGCACCGCTCATCAACAGTAGTATTGTCATATATAGTGTGGAGTTTAGTTGAGAAACAGCTAGATGAAATTTTTTATATTTTATTCAATTTGTTGCTATTTAGTATAATTAGTAAATATTAAACAAACTTACCCATTTGGAAAATTAGTTATTTAGTTGTATAACTATTTTTCTAATTATATTCACTAATACTTTATTGGTTTGTTATATTATTCATCAAATTTCTTTATTTATATGTGCTTTTGAAAAGTATACTTTCGATCATGATGCTGTTGATTGTACATATTTTAATTTGTATCATTTGTACCATAATTAAAACCTGATAATAAACTGTGCCATGCTAAATATTATATTGCAAAAGATAGTGTATAAGAAATAGCCATTCATATTAATTTCATAAAACACTACTGTAAATGGTTAAGCATTGCACATTTATGTGATAGGCTCTCACAAATGTTCAGACAAATGTCTGTGAGGACAAATGTTCTCATGATAAAAACGCTATATTTTAATAAGCTTTAAAATGCAAACAAGGGCATACGTCCTAATCACTATCTACTGTATTAATGCACATATCAATATCTATTCTACTGTTGTCACTTCTATTTCAATTCTATTACCTAATTCTCTGTGTTGAGCATTAATATTTGTAATTAAATCTTAAGAAGTTAATTTTACTTTGATTTTAATTAATTAATTATTTATTCTAATTTATAATATAAAGAACAGCACTTAAAATCAGCTCTATTATTATTAATATTAATAAATTCAATACATGTTATTAAAATTAATTGTAATTTAACATTATGAATGAAATTTTGCATTCTTTGACTGTTTAATTAAATATATTATACATAATGTTGCATAAAATTTATATATCCTTGTTTTCAAAATATTCCAAACTGGACCTTTTATGTTTTGTATTAATTTTTAGTATTAATTTAGCATTAAACACCATTAAGACTAGACACTCAAAAATTAATCACCTAGTAAGACTACAGTAATCTCAGAAAAGCAATATATTGATTAGAACTCATGACCTTGTCACTTTTTTTTTGTTAAAAATACTGCACTTTATAATATTTTTATCATGAGAACATTTGTCCTCACATTTGTCAAAGCATATTACATAAATGTGAAGTTCTTTATTATAACACAATTTAATGTTTTATCAAATTAATAGGCATGGCCATTTCTTATCCATTATCTAATGCAATACAATATTTAGCATGGTATAGTTTATTATCACGTTTTAATTAAGGTACGAATTAAAATATATGTACAATCATCAGCATCATGATTAAAAGTACACTTTGCAAAGCATACACACTCTGTACTGTATATAAATAGAGAAATTTGATGAATGTTAAACACAAACTAAAGTATTAGTAAATATAATTCGAAAAATAGTTATACGACTAAATAATTAAATTTCCAAATGGGTAAGTTTAAATTAATATTTACTAATTACACTAAATAATTAGAAACAACTAACAAATTATACAAAATGTCATCTAGCTCTTTCTCAACTAAACTCCACACTATGTCTGGCAATACTAATGTTGATGAGCGGTGCACTGGCTCAAAACCCTGGGTGTCCAAAGCCCAGCGACATCGCTCCGTGCACGTGCTTCAGCGAAGTGGCGCCACCCGTAGGCTATAACGTATACCTGTATTGCGAGGGCGCCGACCACTTGGACCTGAAAGCCATGTTTCAACGGCTGAGCACAACTGTTACGGACCGCAAGTTTTACCGATTAAGACTGACTAACAGCCGTATCGTCATATTGCCGGCCGATATGTTTGGCGAGTTTCAATTCACCGAGATTGAGATCTTCGGCGCCCATAGTCTACAACGCGTAAACACCCGGGCGTTTGCCGGACCCGTGGCCTCAACTCTTAGACGTATTTCTATCGCCGATACGCCCATATTTGACGGCAACGGCGGTGACTATGATTTATTCAAAGCACTGGCAAATGTGACCAACTTGTATGAGCTGAGTATAATCAACACCAGCCTAACTACTATACCGACCAATGGTCTGCCCTCTGCCCCTATGCTGGAGAAAGTGGTCATCACTGGCAACACCCGATTGACCAGTATTGGCAGCGGTGCGCTAAAACTCAATGGTTTAATACTTACTTTAGATTTGCAAAATAATCGTATTGCAAATTTGTCAGCCGGTGCTATTAATCTGTCGCCCAGCGGCTTAGCTTCTCTTAACATAAGCGGCAATCCGTTGGCCTCTCGGCCGATGAGTAGCCACACATTTTCCGGCATTACAAAAGGCAGTAGTGTTTCGCTGTACGCCTACGGCGACGGTTTCCGGTACTTAAACCGTACTGTATTTGAGCCGTACCTGAGCTCCAGTACTAAACACACCCTTTATTCGGACACCGACTGCGCCGACAGTCGTAACGATTATTTACGAGAGAATTACGCCAAACAATGGTTTGATAAAAATTGTTCATTAAATAAATTACTCTTATTATAATTGTTTAATTAGTTAAAAATGTTATTTTTGTATTTACTAAATATTACTTATTGTTTAATTGTAATAATATAATAATTTACCACATTATTAAAAATAATAAATAAAATTGTGAAAGTTGTATTAAATATTGATGTAACATGATAAATTTAAAAATGAATACGGGGAATACTAAAATATTAGTTATACATTTAAACATGTAAATGTAAATGTGATAGTAATTAATTGATTGAATACCTTTACAACATTTCATAGTTTTTATTTATTTGCAAAATAATCTAAAGGCTAAAAATAGTTACAGATGAATAAGTTATAATGATTTTAATAAATTTTTAACTTTTTACTGTATCTACTTTACTTTAACATACCTTAAAAATCTAACTTTTAAAGCATTTTTTGTTGCTTTTTAATTTAAAACAAATATTAGCAATAAATAATAATAATAAGTAACTAATTATTAATTGACTATTAAAGACTTTATTTTAATGAACATGGAAAATAACAGGAAAAATTTTACATACTTGATAATTCTATAAATATTAGAGTAGGAAAACATTTCCAAAAAATTCATAGTTTAGGAAAATTATTATCATAAGTAAAATATCAGGTGATATATCAAACACTCACTCAATACACGAGTGGTGTCACTGAGAAAACCATGTTTTAAACAAAAGTGAAATATTACCACAAATATGTCTTCAGTTATGGACGCCATTCATCTCTTCGATGATATCGCCGAAGACATCAAACCTACTGTGCGTTTGGTCTACGCTTTTGATGACTCGGGCGGCGATAACCTAATCTACATTACCGCCAATGGCTGCCATCACAACGCCTACGGCTTGGGCAGCAACGCCAACGGCCAACTCGGTCTGGGCCACAATCAACCCGTACTATCACCACAACTGATCCCGCAACTAACCAACCGAGACATCATTTCTATACATCACGGTTTAGACTTCGCTGCGGCCGTCACCGACACCGGACACGTTTACACCTGGGGTCACAACCCGTTTGGCCAATTAGGCCGGGAGTCCACGCGTCGGGGCCAATACCACGCGCCCGAACCCATTGCCACATTCAACTGCCATCAGGTGCTGCAGATATCGTGTGGCTCTGAACACACACTAGCGCTGACCACCGCGGGTGAAGTATACGGCTGGGGCAGTAACTCGTGGGGACAGGTCGGATGTGGACTGGCCCGACTCTGTGAAGTGCCGGCTCCATGGCAGCTGCGATTCCCAAACGATAATCACCGCATCGTTGCCGTAATGTGCGGTCAAAACACATCCTACGCCCTGACCACCGATGGCCGGGTGTTTAGTTGGGGTTGCAATCAGAGCGGACAACTCGGTCACGACAACTGCGGCCTAACGGTATATACACCGGCTCTGGTGACCACTCTGACCGTCGGTGTAAAGGATATCTGTCCGATCAATACGGGGGCCTATATGCTGGCCACTGACGGTGTACTGTATTTTTGCGGTCGCGTGTGTCCGCCCGGCGCCGACCTCTTGGGACCGATAGTAAAACGCTTAGAGATGGGCGCCATTGTTGATGATATTAGACAAGTGGTGTGTCGTAAGGGCACCGGTGAGCCCATTGTGGTCGCACTCGTAGCCGAAAAGGTCTGTGGCATATACTGCGGGACCCGTATTGAGTACACCGATTATCATAGTTTGGATGAGTTCTTTGCCCACGAGTATCAGTTGACTTGTCGGGCGATATCTTTGCCAGCAAATGGTGGTCACAGTGTGGCCGATGAGAGTCACCGATGGACAAGCGGTAAGTGTTTGTAAAGCCTATTGTTGTTAATAATTGTAATGATATTTTTGTATTGTTTGTTACCCTCAGAGTCGGCAGAGTTTCTGCAAAACATCACCGATCGAGTGATCCGTCTGAACGAGTGTCTGGAGAAACAGTTGCTAAACAACGCGACGACAATGAATGCGATGGAGAAGATGCCGATTGTGATGATTGAGGCCCCGATATGGCCCGTATGGCCACTTAATCTGTATACGGAGAGTGTGACGCAAACCTCGTACCTAAGCGTATTGCATCAGGATAAAAGCCAACACTTTGCTACGTTTGAGCGCCTACTTGACCATGGTAATTTTAGATTAGTAGTTTGGTTACTCTCTTTTTTTTGCAAAAATTATAATGTTAATTTATGACATAGATTTAAATGGCAATTACAATATGATCACTAATTATGAAGTTAATCGGTGGCAATCATTTGTCTCAAGAGAGTCATCGCTTAAGTGTATTGAATTGGATGATTGCATTGACACTGGTTTGTACACAACTGTATTGATTGCAATTATAGTTACTTTAGTTAATGATTGATTGTTTCTTACGGTTAGATGTGAATGAATGTATTAAACCTGTGAAAATGTCCGACAATTATAGTAATTTATATACAAAAATCAGTGATCGAAGCAATAGATCCGTGGATTTGATTGAGTTTTACCCGAATTTAGCCGAAACTGCGGATATAAATGAAAATAAATCATACTTTGACGACATTATGACTCTTGGTATCACTGGGTCTGATGGTCAGTACGCAATCACCGGAACAAATGGACTGCTAACTAGTGGCGGATCAGATGATGGCAGATATAGTGGCATGAAGTGCAAGAGTTATCCATTGTGGCGATTATTTGGATTCAATGGCAAGAAAATGGGGGCAAATGTGTCAAAAGCAGTGATTTTGTACGAAACAAAACTGAAAGAAAGTCTATATAAGACAATTAGTGACAAACAATTGTCTATTGATGAGATCAGATCCGCCGCTAAGACTGTACGCCAATTGGTCCATGAATATGAGGCCAGAATACGGAGCTCTACAGAACTTACTGTGAGTGACAACTAATTTATGCAAAGTTATATTTAATATAATTTATCATTAGATTTATTTTCCATATTATTTATACATATAATTTATATGATATAGAAATAAAGCTTTATTTAATTTGTTATCTATAATCTGTTATTTAATTTATTAAGATATTATATTATATCAAACTAATTTATTATTTACCAAATTTAAAAATAATGTTATATTCATATTTTGTTCAATATTAGAAAATTAATTTATTTATATCATTCTTACTATTTATTGCAGCAGTGCTTTTACAGTACAGTAAAATTACAAACTAATTAAAAATTATTATTATTATAAAACTAAAAATGTCAATAAAAGAAAACAATTAGTTAATACAAAAATACTTTATTTCCAAATACTATTCAATTCATTAATAATTAGATTATTAACTTTCAATTGGGCGCCGGATTTGGATGACTGATAAAACACGCGTATAGTATCGGTCAACATGTCTTTGCTATAGAAAGTGCCGGTCATAACAGTCAACCCCCGGTCCCCATACAACTCCACTGCTGACAAGTCCAACACCACACGCATACTGACCACCGGTCCGGCGGTCAGTCGCGGGCCGTCGGGTGTGAGCATAAAATTCTTGCTAAAGTCATGCCTACCGGCGCGGGTCCTGTCGATCACGTATTTAGTCCCCACACCTGTGTAATAGACTTTCAAAGCGTCTGTTTTGCCGGCAAACTCCAGGCCCAGGGTATCGGCGCCGACATCACCACCGCTGACATCAAACTCGACCTCAATGTCCAACAGATGGGACGTAGGCTTTGGTTTTAAGACAATGTCCAGAGTTGTGTTGGCCCTCAATACAGACCCTGAAAGTTTGGTGGTATTACGGGTCAGACCGTGTATTTCGCGCACCGGCAGTGAAGTGAGGCGTAAATTTTTATCAACTTGTGTTAGTGTTACCTCCCGGGGCAAAGTCATGCCACCCCTCCACACACTGGTGGGCACTTCGTTAATGTAGCCAAAGTTGGCCATCCATGCGATATAGACACGGCGCAGGTTGTCGCCCGGTGCCAGCATATTAAATGTTACGCCCGCGTATTCCTCCGGCCCGTGCTCCAGGTAAAGTGTGGTCGAGTCCGGGTTATCGTTGGTAAACTTGTGGCCGTCAAATGTGCCCACGAAATACTGGGCCCTATTGTTGTTGTTCACCGTCAGCACCCATTTGTTTACCACCTTACTACAGTATAAATTATAAACATGGTAAGTTTTTGTTTATCAATAGTATTATATTTTTATCATTCATAATAAATCTTTTATGATAATAATCTCTCTCTCTCTCTCTCTCTCTCTCTCTCTCTCTCTCTCTCTCATTAATAATTGGCTGAACACGCGATTCCGGTATAAACATAATAATAGCATTATGATCATTATTATAATAACATGAATAATAACTCTACGATTGAATAGTTGTGAAATATATATGTATTTTTGCATTTTTGTTAAAAACCGCAAAACAATGGCTTTAATTATAAGTTATATTTTGAAATTCAATTTTCATATTAAAATTACATACGATTTCGTCAGACAATACAAACCATTTGTGTTTAATTGTTTAAAGTTTGTTATGCATAACATTATGATTGGAATATTTGAGCATGATCAATAATTTAGTTCATAATTGTATAAGTACTTTATTAAATTACATAATTGTAGCTAGATAATCCCAAGTTAAATAAATTCATAACATAATTAAACGCACAAAATATATTCACTTCATTATAAAAGGGGAGTTAACTGTCACCAGATTTGTTTGCCAAACACACATACATACATAAGCGAGTGTTGTATGTATTTTAAGAGAGAGAGAGAGAGAGAGAAAGAGAGAGAGAGAGACAT